CCGCTCTTCATGAAGCTTGTTGGCACGGATTCAGTCAGTCTGCCAAAGTGCTCGTTAAAGCAGGAGCCAACGTTCTTGCCAAGAACAAGGTGAGACACATGCAGGAGGAGCTTTCAGTTCTGGTGCAAGGTGGCTGATTCTTAGCACTGGAGATTTATGGCCATGGCATTTCTCAGTGGGTGGGGGACCAGCTCCTGGTAGGATTTTTTTTTTTTCTCCTTTTTTTGCATTTTTTACATCTGGATGGTTCCTCCACAGGCATTAGGAAATTAATATTTTGACAGCTGACGCACGAGGAACTCAATAGCACGTTAAATGATACATTAATTATGGCTGATGATCACTGCAATTCCTGTGGAAATCTCCACAGTGCTCCAATTTATACCAAGTGGATTCATTGTGATTGGTCTGATTTAAAATGAAAATTAATTGTACTAATAGGAAAATGGCATTCAAAATCTGTTTTTTTTTTCAGAAATTAAACATCCAAGTGAATGTAAGCCACAGAGGGAAATAAATAGCATATCTTTTGTTATAAAGTTCTTCCTAATACATGAGTGTAGGCTCTTACCAAAATCTTGTAATGAACCCAGATTATCTTCCCTCTCATATATATAATACCTTGAGAGCAGTTTAGAGGAAAGAATAACAAAGCAAGGGGTTTTAGTTCCACTCTAATTGTAATGTCTGTGCGAGACTTGTCTTCAGTTCACTAATTCAAAAGTTAATTAAATAGTCTAGGAAGAGGCAGTAGCAGACTGTGGTGTGAGCTGAGTTGGGGTTTGGACTGCTGTGCCGATGGGTTTGTTATGGATTGGTTGGCACTGTGTCCTTCTGAGCATTTTGTGGTAAACGTATCTCTAAAATGACAACTGAAAGGGGCTAGTGAAGAAAGGGAAGAAGGGAGACAGGTGGCTAAAGTCCAAGATTTTGAGTAAAAAGGCGCATTGCCTGGGCGTAGTGTTTCTATATGTGTGCGTGTACATATGCATATGTTTGTACAATCGTGGTCACTTTGTGGTCTGTAATTACATCATCTTTGATATTATTTTATGTGTATTCCTTCTTTTATATTGTTCCAACTTCCAGTTTTTATTTTCTGTAATTATTTTTTACTGTAACGTTCACCTAGATTTGTATCAAAGGTACTTTAGACAACTTCCCATGCTTGACTTTATAATCTTGTGGACCATTATACTCCTATTCCTGGATATGTTTGTCTATGTATATACTTACACTTCTGTACAAAGGTGTGGACTTAAGATGCAAGTCTGGTTATCCTGCATGCTTGGATGCCTCAGGGTATTAGAAGATTTAGCTTACAATACAGTGTATGTCAACTGGAGACACCCTGTCTTGGAAAGCATGTGCACAGAATAGCTCAGCAGGGTTGATGTCTGAAATATGACTGGCAGACTTTAATACTGTATGAGCAGCTCCTGTGCTGGACTTTGATGTCTTACCCACACAATTCTCCCCCTTTGCATTTCACTGTTTGGGTGGTTTTTTAATGGACAGGATCTTTTCTCAGGAGCCACTGAAAAATGTGGGAATTGTGCATGCTTGCACACATGCACGTGCTTTTACCCCTTTTGATTTCAAGAAAAATGAAAAGCATAAGTCTACTTAATCCTAAAATGGTTTCTCTGGTCTCTCAACTTTTTACGTTGCTGACGACAAGGCATAATCTTTCTGGCAGCCAGGGCTGAGTGCCAAATGCAGGAGCACCCTACGCAGGAGCACCCTACAGGCTGTTGACTTACACCTGGGCATCATGTGATTTTGGCTGGGTGGGAGAGATCGGGGCTGCTAGATTTGCCAAACCCTGCTAAGCAGCAGAAGACGGGAGGAATTTGACTCTGTGTTTTCTATAACTCCTGGTCAGTATCTCCTGGGACTGCCTGGGGAATGCTTGTATGCATGCACTTCCCGCAGCACAGCACCTTGAGCACAGTATTAAAAGAGCAAGGCAATTGAAGATGGCTTCTAGATTAAGTAAAATGAAGAGGCCAGGACACCTGGGATTCTAAAGGCAAGTCAGGCAGACATTTGAGGAATGGGACAACACATGGGTAAACCACCTGGCTAGCCATATTCCTCCTGTGCAGCAAATACCCTGGAGATGCAGTTTATTTTCGGTCCAGTTGGCCTAATAAAAGCACCACCACGTTGGCAGATCATCCCATGAGACCAGTTGTAGCCTTCTTTTTAGATCCTCCATCAGTCTGTACATTTCAGTGGAGATTCAATAGGCCAGTGAAGACCCCTCCCAGATCGGTACAACTCGGACCCGCTCTCCCTCTCACAGAAGCTGGCGAGAGATTTGTCACCCCGTGAGAGACGAGCCAGACGAATCTGCTCTGTGAGCTTTGACCCCACGCACCAGCACCGTGACTTCTCCCAACATTGACGTCCTCACCTGTCACCTACTGCACAGGACCTCTCTGCCTCCCCACCAGGGCCGACCATCCAAACAGCAAATGATAAAGACGTTACAGAGGCTTTTCAGAGATAAACCCTTCAGGGAAGGAAAAAATTGACACTTAAATCCAATTTAGCTGAGAAAGAAAATGTACATGTCTGCCACAGCTTAGAGACTACAGTCAGTCCTGAAATAGTCTGTAATGTGGAACTGAAGACCTAAGACCACATCTAAGAGTTGTCCTTTTGTAATTCAAACCCTGCAGCTTTGATCTATGTCTTGAAAGCACGGGGGACAAATTAAAGGACATAACCAAGGTGAACAGGCAGCCTAGTATGCATGGGAAACCTTTATACCTGAGCTGATTTCATTTCTAGCTCCCAGGAGCCAAAAACCCCAAACATTTTCAGGCCAACAAAAGCCAAACACTGTCAGAAAAACTTGTCAGACTAATGTTAGAAAGACAAGCAAACTCTTCTTTGATTTCTGTCCATAAAACCTGCGTGTTTGCTTCTTTCAGAAACCTTAGTATGTGATTCTCTGGGGTTTGGGTGGCTTTTATTTCCCCTTCTCATCTTGGCTGGCAGCTTTCTGAACACTGAAGCTTCCCAGTAGCCTAAAATCTGCATCCTGCTTTGTGAGAGCACCTACAGACCCAGCCAGTCTTGGAGCTGGTTTATGTTACAATTTTAAAGAAACAGAAATTGTTGTGACCTTTGTCTGCCTAACACCCTGCAGCAGTGGCAGCCAGCTTTGCTTGGGATCAGAGATGCCGTACCATGCCAGCCTGTTTCTTTGTGTGTGTGCACGGGGGAAACCCAAAACACAAGAATTATATTTCTTTAAATGAAGTACTTGATAGTGCTGTTTGATATTAATGAACCAGAGAGTTTATAGAGTCATTGCTTACTGCAAACAGACTTGACCAATGCAGATATTGTTAGATTGTCGAATTTCTGCCTTTACTCTGTCCCAGATAAATAATTTCCAGGATGAAGAGGGTATTTCAGTCTTCAGATTCATTCAGCTCGTATCTTTGGGAGATTAACAGCGACAGTTCCCCACCCCTGGGTGGATCTTCTTGTGCAAAGATCTGTGAGGTTTTAATTTTTAATGCTTATGTCCAATTTCTAACTACGGCTTTTATATTTTTCTGTATTTTTCTAAGGCAGGTAACACACCTCTTCACCTGGCTTGTCAGAATAGCCATTCCCAGAGTACTCGTGTTTTGCTACTTGGAGGATCTCGAGCAGACCTCAAAAATAATGTGAGTTTTGAAAAGAAAGTGTTCAGTTTTGTTTGCCTTTGTTTTAGCTGTATTGCTTTAACTTGTAGAAATACTGAGAAATGCTTTAAGCTGTGATTTTATTATAAATGCTCTTGATAAAAACGCTAACAAACCATTGTATACATCATGTACAGGAATGCTTTTGATAGAACTGAGTGATGCACTACTTGTACCCATCTCTTGAGTGGGGATGGAAGGAGACAAAGTGGGTTTTGCTGTTGCACAGACTGAGGCAGCTGCTCCTTTGCTGCTTTTTGTGGTCCTGATGGCCTGACCCATATACTGTCGTGCAATTTTGCAAAAGGGCTCCTCTCTCAAAAAGGTGGAAATCTTAAAGGAGTTTTGTGCCAGAGCAGGGAAAGCCTTCAGACCTGCCCTCACTGAGACAGATAATATATATTGTGTGTCGGTCTGTCAAATGAGGTAGATTCAAGGAGACTTCCATTTCAGACAGCTTTCGTCCTATTTTATAATTATTCTGGCATGACAAAGGGAAAAAAAATCTACAAAAAGAAGCCAGATGGTTTTTTCCTGCTCAATAACAAGATGAGCAGAGGCACACAGAAATGGAAACCTGTGGGACTCTGCTCTCAGCTCCCAGTCCCAGCTGTGCATGTGCCACCCCTCATGGGGATGCTGCTGTGGCCCCCACTCCTCATGTTTTCTTCGTTACGTGCAACACCGAGTTGAGTTTCCAAGTCACATTGGTTTGTGGTTCAGAAGAACAGATTTAATGTAAAAATGTAAACGAGGTTTTGTGGTGCAGTAAACCAGCATTTTTATAATTCCAGTATTTCCCATCAGTGGTTAAAGAATTCGTACCCCCACCTTGCCTAACCCCAGCTCTTGCTAAACCTTCCCACCCATGATAGTAGATTTTGTACCGCAGAGAAGACAGCATTGCTGTTCTTTGAAGGCGTATGACATTTACTGCTCTTTTCGGTTTAATAGGATTATTTCATCCCTGAACACCATGACAAGTGCAAGCTTTCTTACTGCGATTACATGCTCAGAGCTTTGTTTCTGTTTGCAGGCAGGAGATACCTGTCTGCATGTGGCTGCTCGTTATAATCACTTGCCCATCGTTAGGGTGCTGCTCAGTGCTTTTTGTTCTGTCCATGAAAAGAACCAGGTCAGTGCATGAACCTCATTGCGACTCTGTGCCCTTTGCATACGGCTAGTTGTTGGGAAGAGGGATTCCTACCCAAGGAATCCAGCTTCACTCTGTGTTTCACTGTACCACCAAGTGCCTGAGCTTTTAAGAATAGCCTTAAAGTAATGGCATATCAGTGGTTTATTATTTTGCCATCGCATTTGCATCATTTCTTTAGTGTTGCCTATTCAGATAATAAAAGTGCAAATTCCTCTGGAATACTTTTCTTTGCTGCATTTTACAGTAGGGGGAATTAAGAGTGCAGTAGTATGCTTTAAATTCAAAGCGATGACCTAGGATTAATCATAGTTGTTTAATAGAGAAGTAATTGGTTGCTGTACCTATAGCATAGCCTAATTGTAGAAGGGAATGAATTTAGTACATTAAAATTTGTTAAATCTGCTAAATAAACAGATTATCTGGTGCTTAACCACATCGCCTCATGTTCCTGGGAAATCTTCCATGTGTAGTTGGGGATCATAAAGATGTTTTCTGATCTGTAAGTTTAATGTTGTTTCTTAAATATGAGATACTACAGCAAACAAAATGGGTTTCAGCATGTTAAATTAACTATGTGATTTTATTTGGAAATGAGTTTTTTAACTTGCAAAATGAGCTACTGAATATTAAGATTAACTGGTGTGCACCTGGCATACAGAGACACCCCTTTCCTTCATTGCCCGGCACTACCCAAAGTTATTCCGTATTTGCACATACAATGGTTTTATTTATGAACATGCCTCATCCAAGTCAGCAACAAGCAACAGATTTCCACTAGTCTCAAGAAGATCTGATTTTCTGAAAGCAAAATGCAAGGCAAAGGGGACAGGGGGGCATTATATGCACGTGTCCCATCTCCTTTGAACAGCTGCTGGCTCTGTTACCAGTGCCCAGATCTGATCGTAGCCGTCTTCACCTCGCTGCACTGGGACAAGGGCAGGGCAGTATGTTAGTGCTGGACCCCAGTCGCCTCCTGGCTTTGGTCCAAACCCTGTTTTTCTTGAGGAATTTCATGAAGAGAACGCCAACCATCTCGCTGCTGGCACTTACCTGATTATTTTTGAGTAACGTGATACATGACCACCTGCGCACCAAATAAACAAACCTGAAAAAAAAAGAAAAAAAAAGAAAAAAAAAGAAAAAAAAAGAAGAGAAGGTTGTGGTGGGGAAACCGGTTCTGCCCCTCAGATGTTGTATCCATTTGCTGGCGGTAGAGTTGGGCTGTCTCCAAGCTGCATCATGTGTCACTCGGTTTAGTTAAACCAGATCACCAGCCCCCCGTCTGCATTTTTCAAAACCAGGCTGAAGTAGGTCCTTGCCCCACAGTAGCTCCTTGCCCCCTACTTTCAGCTTCCTCCCAACTCTGCTTTTTTTTTATTGACAAGACCTTATTTAAGCTTAGTTGCATCAGTAAGCGTAGGTCTTCTCACCTCTGAGCATCTTTCAGGAAGGTGTGATTTCTGCAGGGGGAGACCCAAGGGCGTGTGTTACACAGCTGCTTTCTGGTTTGTAACTTGCAGGCAGGAGATACTGCACTCCATGTAGCTGCTGCGCTCAATCACAGGAAGGTGGTTAAGCTGTTGCTGGAGGCAGGGGCTGATGCGTCGGTTGTCAACAATGTAAGTAGGACATGGAGTTTCTTTGGTATTTTGTATTAGAATCATAGAATGATAGAAGGGTTTGGGATGGGAGGGACCTTAAAGATCACTTAGTTCCAACGCCCCTGCCATGGGCAGGGACACCTCCCACTAGACCAGGTTGCTCAAAGCCCCATCCAACCTGGCCTTGAACACTTCCAGGGATGGGGCATCCACTACTTCTCTGGGCAGCCCGTTCCAGTGTCTCACCACCCTCACAGTGAAGAATTTCTTCCTAATATCTAATCTAAATCTACCCTCTTTCAGTTTAAAACCATTACCCCTCATCCTATCACTACACTCCCTGATAAAGAGACCCTCCCCAGCTCTCCTGTAGGCCCCCTTTAGGTACTGGAAGGCCGCTATAAGATCTCCCCAGAGGCTTCTCTTCTCCAGGCTGAACAAGCCAAACTCTGTCTTAATGCAGACACTCTTCAATGCTCTCTCTAGTGTTGGTAGAAAATATTGGGTGTTAGAGTAGAATTAAATCTGGGTAAATGAAAGCAGTTAGTCACTATGCTCTTGTGCACACAACATGTTCTAACCTCAGGTGTACAAATTTCACATTTCCAGCAGCTCATGTTTTGAAGGAAATGCCATTTTCTTTTTTCTCTCAGGCAGGACAGACCCCTCTAGAGGTTGCCAGACAGCACAATAACCCTGAGGTTGCGCTCCTCCTCACTAAAGCATCACAGGTATGTTACAAATCTCTCCCCAACACAAACATACACATGGAGCTGAGGCCAGTTAACCTAGAGGGGGCACATCCCCTGGTCCTTAACCTTCTGCTGTGAAAGGTGCCTGTATTTTTCCTGGCATTGTGTGCTGGCCTCAGGTCTATTGACATGGAGCCTTTTAGCCCCCAGGCTCAGCAAGGTGTGTAAATTAAGCCTCAGCATTAAGTGCCAGCAGAGGTCCTGGCTGTCCTGACTGGCAGAGGATGGAGCAGCCAGAAGCACTTATTGCTTGTGGTGGCCCTGTACCCAAAAGCTCCCAGGTTGTGTCCCTCTGCTGCCTGCCTCAGACTTCTCCCATCTCCAAGATAGTTGCTCACGCTGGAAGATGCTTTGAAATAGGGACAAAATGTCCTGTTTATACTCTGCTGCATGTGTGAAATGCTACAACGCTCTTCAGGCAGGAAGGCACATGGAAGGGCTCTGTATTCTGGTATGAGACCAGGTGCGATCCCTGCCCAGTTCCTCCTTGTCACCGCTGTGCGAGAAAGCTGGGCTGGGCTTGGCTTGGCATCCAGCCTGGGGACACAGGAGGAGGCTCTCACCCCTCCAAGGGACAGCGAAGTGCCCTGGTGGATGCAGCCATGAAGACACACCACCACTGAGCTATGAACACCCACGTGGCTTGGCCCATCAGCATCCAACTGTCAGTGTGCTTTCTTTTATATTTTGCCTTCTAATAGAGGTGAGAGAGGTCTGCTCTATTGCTTGGCTTCTGTGGTAAGAAAGAGCATGACATCACTGAGTAACAGTGTGGTCTGCCTTCAGGTCTCACGCTTTAACCGTGGAAGAAGCCTGAGGAAGAAGAGAGAGAAGCTGAAGGAGGAAAGGCGAGCTCAGTCGGTACCACGGGATGAAGTGGTACAGAGCAAGGTACAGCCCAGCATTACCAGCTGCGTCTGCTGCAAGGGGGGAGCGTAAATAATACCCATCGGGACTAAATCTATTTGGAGCCATCACTTATGCATGACCACGGCAGCTGTCTGAGGCAGTCTCTCGTGCTTAGCTGCTAAAGAGTTGCCCACTCATGTGTGCAGAGCAGCTTAAAACTGGGAAATTGAAGAAAAAGGACCTTTTCCCCATCTGTGCGACTGCTCTGAACTCTGAACTCCCTGTCTTTGCTTCAAGCAGGGCAGCATCTCGGCTGCTGATGACACAG